AACTGGAGTTATGGATGGTTGTTAGCTACTATGTGGGTTCTGGGAATCAAACCCTGATCCTCTGCAAGAGCAGTCAGTGCTCTTAACCACTGAGCCATCTCTCCAGTCCCTGAAATTTTTGTTGTTGTTGTTGTTATCAGTATTTATCAGGAGTGGGCAGACATTTGTTTACGTCTCCACAGGAAGAGTCACACAATAATCTTTGATTTTGGAACTCTATGTTGGAGATTTGTTTGCAGTAAATTATCAAAATCAAAGAAAAAAGACACAGGCATAAAGTTACCACTGGGGTACTGCTACGAAACTGTGCACACAGGTGTGATTTGTAAGTTGAACAACTGGGGATGTCAGGCAAGCAGCTGGGCCCAGTGCATTGTTATTAAAGGACTGAGGAGGTCCTGCGCACACTTATGGTAGGGTCTCGAGGGAATAGAAGGAGAGAGCCTGTGCTGTCAGACATGGACTTTGTCATCAGGCCACACCCAGCCCTGACAGCCTTAGGGATACAGTGATACCTGCTCTACAGATGGACCCTGTCCTGAAGATTCACAAAGTGGCCCAGCCACATACCAAGACAAAGCTGACAAGACACAAAGCCCCTGCCCAAGCCAAACTCAGGTAACAGGAAGGAGATGCCAGGCTTGCAAAGGATAGTGAGCAAACTTCAAGCTTCCTGGAATGTAGGGACACATGGTGAGAACTGGCAATCTGGGCCCTTGACTGTGTCATTGCATTAATTGTGGCATGCAGCTTCTACTAACAACAGGCAGAAAGGTGCTGGAGAGATGGCTTAGCAGTTAAGAGCACTGGCTGCTCTTGCAGAGGACACAGGTTCAATTCCCAACACCCACATAGTGGCTCACAATCATCCATAACTTCAGTTCCAGGGGATCCAACACCGTCTTCTGGCCTCAGCAGGCACTGCATGCACACGTGGTACACTTACATCCATTCAGGCAAAACATTCATACACATAAAACAAAACAAAATGAAAAAAAATAAAATTTAAAACTAGGTAGAAGAATGTGGAGGAGCAGGTCTCACTGCTGGGGAGAAATGTCCTTTTTTAAAGTAAAGGAAACAAACTAGGAGGGAAAATAAAACCATCGACAGTGCTCACTGTTCTTTTTTCCAGATGTCAAATCTCATTCAGATGCAAAAGCTTAGAGACAGGAAGTGACCAGTCAGGATCACCAGCCAGGAAGAGGCGGAGCTGGGATTTGGACCCAGGACCTCGCAGGAAAAGGAGGTGTCCCAGTCATCATAAGACAGCTCCCACCCCAGTACCTGCTAGGAATCTAGGCAGATGAACTCCAAGTTTAGGGGCCCTATGGGTGGCCATGGACCACACTCACCACTCCTTGGTGATCCGTGTCTGTAGCTCAGGCAGCAGGAACTGCCCATGGAATCGGTAGATGGAGGAGATGTTAGAGAAGATGCCAGTGGTGACTTCTGGAGGGATCCCTGCTTCTGTCAGCCTGGTGCAGAAAACCTGGGCACAGAGAAGTCCACAATGGCCACTGAGCGTGGGCTACCATGGACATCTGCCAGAGGAGTGAATGCTTGGGTTTCCTTAATTTTTAAATATTTATTCTACTTTGTTTTATAGTGTGTGAGTGTGAATGTGTGTGGTGCATGCACATGTGTGTGCACATACAGAAGCTAGCAGAAGACATTGATTTCCTGCTCCACACTCTCCACCATATTCCCTTGAGGCAGGGTCTCTCACTGAATCTGGCTGGCAGCAAGCAAGCCAATAATCCTCCTGTCTTTGTCTCCCATAGTGCTCTGGTTACATGTGTGTGCTTTTTACATGGCTGCTGGAATTTGTGTTTTGTTTCGTTTGATTTTTGTTCTTTGGTTTTTATTTTTCTTTTTTTGTTTATTTATTTTATGTATGAACGTATTGCCTGCACGTGTATAAGTGCACCCACATTGTGCAATGCCCTTGGAGGCCAGAAGAGGCATCAGATCCCCTGGAACTGGTGTTACAGGCAGTTATTAGCTGCCATGTGGGTGCTGGGACTTGAACCCAGGTCTTCTGCAAGAATAGCCAGTGCTCTTAATCGCTGAGCCATCTCTCCACTCCCTGTTTATTTTAGTTTTATGTGTATGAGTGTTTTGCCTGGATGTATGTAAGTGCACCCATGTGTGCAATGCCTGTGGAGGTCAGAAGAGGTGTCAGGTTCCCCAGGAACTGGTTGTTAGCCACCATGTGGGTGCTGGGAACTGAACTCCTGTCCTCTGAAAAAGCAGCCAGAATTCTTAACTGCTGAGATACCTCTCCAGCTCATTTGTTTGTTTGTTTGTTTGTTTGTTTGTTTGAGGCAGGGTCTTACTATGTAGCCCTGGCTGGCCTGGAACTCTCTATATAGACCAGGCTGGGCTTGAACTTGCAGACATCTTGAGTGCCTCTGCCTCCCAAGTGCTGAGATTAAAGGCGTGTGCCACCACACTGGCCACCTTTTTTATACCTTTGTCTGTCCTTCAAATATTGATGTTCCTAGGGGTTTTGTCTCTAGTTCTTTTATTTTATTTGCCCCAGTTTATCGACATTTTGACTGGGACCCAGAAATCCAGAAATCTTGTTTTATTCATGTTTTTTAAATTAGTATACAAAATAATGGGTTTTGTTATGGCATTTTCCTACCTCTTTTCCCCCTCCCCCTGTCTGCTTTCATGTCATGTGTATTATATTATACTCTGCTCTCCTAAAATCACTTTCTCCTTCTCATGGTCTAGTTTCATGAGCACATACAAAAGTGAAAATACAGTATCTGCATATGAGAGAAATCAGGTAGTATTTATCTCTTTGAGGATGGTTTATTTTGCTTAACACGATAATTTCCAGTTCCATCATTTTTTTTTTTGGCAAATAGCATGATTTCATCTTTCTTTATGACTGAATAAAATTCCATTGTATATATGCACCACAGTTTCTTTATTCATCTGTTCATGGTTGTCTTATCTAGCTGTTTCTATTTCTTTACAACTGTGAATAATGAATGCATCAATAAACATGGATGTGCAAGTATCCATGGGAAGACTTAGACTCCTTCAGGTATGTACTCAGGAATGGAATGGCTGGGGACCCAGACATCTTAAATTCAGTCTAAAACTGAGTACCTCCCCTTTCTACATATCTTTTTTACTCTCAATTCCACGCATTCCCAATATCTACAAATACAAGACTGAAATGCACCTTTCTTTTGGATTACTATCCTGGTGAACGACTACTATCTACATCTACACAATCACGCAAGTGTGGAATTGGAAGCTGTTACTGCAGCCTCCTGCATTCTGTCCATCCATTTGGTCAGTTCTGGATCTGCTGTCTCCCTTTTGAATCTACACTTCATTAACCCAGTTCAGGAAATTTTTGTTGGTCACTTGGGTGCTAGCATTAGGGGTGGCTCCTACTGGCAGCCTCCAATCTGCTGTGCTTCTGA